CGACGATTTTGATAGTAAATCCTCATATTCATTACACCGCTTTCATAGTAATAAAATGCGATGCAAATCCTGCATTTGTATACTAACAATACTAACGCTTATAACGCTAAACTAATTCTCTCTTCCTCTATCGCAGCACGAAATTTAACGTGCTGCCAATCTTGATGACTTTAGAGATTTTTAACGTTTGTCCCGATGTACAGGATACAGCGATAGAGGCCCACGCGATGGAGGTAGTAGGCAAGGTAACGATAGATGGGACTCTAGAAGTAATAGGGGCAATTACGGCCAGTTCAACGACGACACAGGTGGAAATCGTGATTGGGCGCGAAGTACGTCCAGCAGGTCGTACACTAATAAACCTCCACTTCGGGGAACCGGTCCTGGTTTAGACCGGAAACCCTTCCCGGATGATTTTCCGAAAGATGCCCCTCCTCCAGGTACGTATACAATAAGTGTATATATTTATAATCTTCGAAAACGCACTACCACTGAGGTCACAGTACTGTGAATAAAAATCCTACAAGAATTTAGAATGTATATGTATGTATGCGTTAGTTTATTGTTTTCAAACCGGATTATAAATCTCCTACCATCAACTCATGGTCTTTCGCTCAAAACTTTTAACTCTTTAATCAGTCTTTTATAAATTGAGACTTTGTATTGTAATATTGGAATGATGGTCGGAGTCGAACTTACGACCTGTCAACTATGAGTCCACTGTTTCTGTACGAAGCTATGTATTATCCCACAAATGTATTTTTATAATCTTTATATCCTTCATACTAAGTCATAATTTGTTAACGGTAAAAGAGAAATAAAACTACATTCTAGTTTCTTTCTATTATACACATGTATAAAATTCACATGGGATAAAGAATCACGCAAAGTAATTTTGAATTTACGTGTTTTAAAAATTTAATTAAATATCTTGTCACAGAGTCAATAATCTTTTTCCACTTGAAATTTCTCAAAAACACATATATACATAAATTAAGATATATAATCTGTTATACTCATCCAATTGCGCGCTTTTCACTTTAGACACTTCTGGAAGAAAACGTTTGCAGCTCAAACCAAGGACTGTTAACGAGCCTGTGAATGCAATTGCAGAATCGAGTAAAACAAGTTCCATTTACGGAGGTGCAAAGCCTCGAGAAGAAAAATTGAAGACGGAGGAGAAGTAAAACTAACGATATCATCAATAATCTCAGATTTCCCCGAGGAAATTGGAGAAAGAAACATTGTTGACAAAATTTTAAAATCAATCCAAG